CTATGTTAACAGTTGGTACCTGGCAGAAAAACAACAAAACATTATTTGATGATGTGGAGTATCTGCCTTCATCCCATTTGTATGAAGAAAACCAAACTTGAGAGGAAGAGAAACTAGAAACTAGTAAATGCAAAGAAGTGTATTATAGTGAGAAAGACACCAAATACAGCCTGCAATCTTACAGAGCTTACCTCATCGGTGGTATGAGAGCGCCCTCTGGTGTGTAAAATAGAGAATGCAAGTTAACGCTTAAATTTTTTTTCTTATTATTTAAAAAGCAGCAATATATTCAGCAGGAAACTCGTACAGAGGGGGAAAAAAACCAATTGGGTTCAAACCACTGTGTGGAAAAGATTAAATATAATTTTGGAACAGTAGTAGTTAGTTAATTCCTCCCTTCCCCCCCCCCCCAAAAAAAAATTAAAAAATTGGAAAAATCAGAAAATAAAAAACAGGAAAAACGATGCAAAAATGGCTAAAATATTGCCAGGGCTAATGGCAATATCAGGCATTTTTTTTGCAATTATGAGTTGGCAAAAGTAAATACACGATCAGGATAAGAAGCATACGAAAATAAAATCAGCAATAAAACAGTAAAATCAAAGAAATTGAATGCGTAGGGTGGCAGGATTTCTTTGATTTTACTGTTGATTTTATTTTCGTATGCTTCTTATCCTGATCGTGTATTTACTTCCTTCTGGATACTGAAGACATCTTACGATTCTGATGGGCTTTTTTACTACTTAAATCTCGTGAGTGCAATCAAATAAAGTTATCCTTTTTATATATACAGTTGAACACTATGTCTTTCTTTTCTATTTTACCCTAAAGTTTCAAAGTGGGAAAAAAGAAGAAAAGAAGTCCTTGAATGAGATTTACATACTCCGCCTATTTTACTCATATGTTTGTAAGTGTATCTTAGATTTTACCTTTTATAGTGATTTATTTTATCTACACTACTGTGGTCTCTCTTTGTTTTATACATTTTAGATTAATTCCAGAGAGACTGCTAAATGAAAACAGTCATACCCACATATCAGAGAGGAGAAAAAAAAAGCAAACCGAAAGTCCCACTGTTCTGAGGAAGTACCTGCGTTAAAGTGGCACGGTCATGGCTGAATCCAGTTTCGTTTTTTTAACCCTCATTCCAACTCAACTACATCTAATTGCCAACTTAGTTACCCCCAAATGCCCCTAAGCCCCCCATATTACCTATTTTTTAATCTTTATTGTGCTCGGACCTAGGTCCTGGGCGCCTTCATCTTTGTGTGGGCAGATGAAGTCCCTATGGGACACGTCATCTGCCCACACTACACCCTGTTCCAAATTATTATGCAAATTATATTTTTCTCATTTACCTAAATAATTGATGAAATAACAGTCAGTATAATTATCATGTTATCAACTATTAAGAGTACAATTCAAATTGTATTGAACAAACCTCCTAATGATAACAGCATTTGTTTTAAAACAAACTTACAATGCACTGTTCCAAATTATTACGCACAGTAAGTTTCAAAACACTTTATAGGTTGTAAAGAACTGAAAATTGTCATTTGTTGTGTTTGCAGCATATTTACTTAAATCAAAAGCTATTTCAATCAAACTTATAACAACATTTTAACTTTTTAAACATTTTAACAGGTCACGTTAAATTTTAACATAGGACCCCTTATTTGATAGCAGCTTCACAAGTCTTGCATCCATTGAACTTGTGAGTTTTTGGACAGTTTCTGCTTGAATTTATTAGCAAGATGTCAGAATAGCCTCCCAGAGCTGCTATTTGGATGTAAACTGCCTCCCACCCTCATAGATCTTTTGCTTGAGGATGCTCCAAAAGTTCCCAATAGGATTGAGTTCAGGGGAGGATGGAGGCCACACCATGACTTTCTCTCCTTTTATCCCCATAGCAGCCATTGATTCTTTGCAGCATGAGATGGTGCATTGTCATGCATGAAGATGATTTTATTACAGAAAGCATTGTTCTTCCTTCTGTACCAGGGAAGAAAGTGGTCAGTCAGAAACTCCACATAATTTGCAGAGGTCATCTTTACACCTTCGGGGACCCTAAACATGACTCCACCACCGCCTTGTTGACGTCGCAGCCTTGTTGGAACAGGGTGGCCGTCCACCAACCATCCACTACACCATCCATCTGGACCATCAGGGTTGCATCACTCATCAGTGAACAGGACTGTTTGAAAATTAGTCTTAATGTATTTTTCTGTCCAATGCAGCCGTTTCTGCTTGTGAGCATTGGTTAGTGGTGGACTCTACACCTTGATGTCTGTGGGACTCCAGAGGCACCAGCAGCTTCAAATATCTGTTTGGTGCTATAGAAACATAGAATGTGACGGCAGATAAGAACCATTCGGCCCATCTAGTCTGCCCAATTTTCTAAATAGTTTCATTAGTCCCTAGTCTTATCTTATAGTTAGGATAGCCTTATGCCTACCCCACGCATGCTTAAACTCCTTTACTGTGTTAACCTCTACCACTTCAGCTGGAAGGCTATTCCATGCATCCACTACCCTCTCAGTAAAGTAATACTTCCTGATATTATTTTTAAACCTTTGTCCCTCTAATTTAAGACTATGTCCTCTTGTTGTGGTAGTTTTTCTTCTTTTAAATATAGTCTCCTCCTTTACTGTGTTGATTCCCTTTATATATTTAAATGTTTCCATCATATCCCCCCTGTCTCGTCTTTCCTCCAAGCTATACATGTTAAGATCCTTTAACCTTTCCTGGTAAGTTTTATCCCGCAATCCATGAACCAGTTTAGTAGCCCTTCTCTGAACCCTCTCTAAGGTATCAATATCCTTCTGAAGATACGGTCTCCAGTACTGTGTACAATACTCCAAGTGAGGTCTCACCAGTGTTCTGTACAATGGCATGAGCACTTCCCTCTTTCTACTGCTAATACCTCTCCCTATACAACCAAGCATTCTGCTAGCATTTCCTGCTGCTCTATTACATTGTCTGCCTACCTTTAAGTCATCAGAAATAATCACCCCTAAATCCCTTTCCTCATATGTTGAGGTTAGGACTATCAAATATTCTGTACTCTGCCCTTGGGTTTTTACGTCCAAGATGCATTATCTTGCACTTATCCACATTAAATGTCAGTTGCCACAATTCTGACCATTTTTCTAGTTTACCTAAATCATTTGTCATTTGGCTTATCCCTCCTGGAACATCAACCCTGTTACATATCTTAGTATCATCAGCAAAAAGACATACCTTACCATCAAGACCTTCTGCAATATCACTAATAAAAATATTAAAGAGAATGGGTCCAAGTACAGATCCCTGAGGTACCCCACTGGTGACAAGTCCAAGCTTCGAATATATTCCATTAACTACAACCCTCTGTTGCCTGTCACTCAGCCACTGCCTTACCCATTCAACAATATTGGAATCCAAACTTAAAGATTGCAGTTTATTGATAAGCCTTCTATGTGCAACAGTGTCAAAAGCCTTACTGAAATCTAGGTAAGCAATGTCTACTGCACCACCCTGATCTATAATTTTAGTTACCCAATCAAAAAAAGCAATAAGATTAGTTTGGCATGATCTCTCTGAAGTAAATCCATGTTGTCTCTGATCTTGAAATCCATGTGTTTTTAGATGTTCAACAATCCTATCCTTTAACATGGTTTCCATCACTTTCCCCACTACTGAAGTAAGGCTTACTGGCCTATAGTTGCCTGACTCCTCCCTATTACCTTTCTTGTAAATGGGCACAACATTCGCTAACTTCCAATCTTCTGGGACTACTCCTGTTAATGATTGGTTAAATAAATCTGTTAATGGTTTTGCTAGTACACCACTAAGCTCTTTTAATAGCTTTGGGTGTATTCCATCAGGTCCCATTGACTTATTTGTCTTTACTTTTGACAGTTGAAATAGAACCTCTTCCTCTGTAAACTCACGTGTAATAAATGACTAATTTATCCTTTTTCTCAACTGAGGTCCCTTTCCTTCATTTTCATCTGTAAATACCGAACAAAAATATTCATTGAGGCAGTCAGCTAGACCTTTATCCTCTTCTACATACCTTCCTTCTTTTATTTTTAATCTAACTAATCCTTGTTTTACTTTTCTTTTCTCATTTATGTATCTAAAAAATGTTTTATCCCCTTTTTTACTGACTGCTATTTTCTCTTCTGTGTGTGATTTGGAAGCTCTTATAACTTACTTAGCCTCTTTCTGCCTAATCTTAGAGATCATTTTGTCTTCCTCACTCTGGGTTTTTTTATAATTCCTAAATGCTAACTTTTTGTTTTTAACTATTTTGGCCACATCTGCGGAGTACCACAATGTTTTCTTGAATTTTTTGCTTTTACTGACAAGCCTAATGCAATTTTCTGTTGCTTTCAATAGTGCAACTTTTAAATAATCCCATTTCTCTTGGACTCCATTTAAATTGCTCCAGTCTGATAATGACTCCTCTACCCATATTCTAATTTTAGAAAAGTCTGTTTTCTAAAGTCTAAAACTTTTGTTTTTGTGTGGTGTGACTCAGTCACTGTTCTTATATTAAACCACACTGACTGATGATCACTGGATCCTAAACTTTCACCTACAGTAATATCTGATACCAAATCTCCATTTGTTAACACTAAATCTAGTATGGCCTCTTTACGAGGTGGCTCCTCAACAACTTGTTTTAGAGACAATCCCAGTAGGGAGTTTAGAATATGTGTGCTCCTGGCACAAGTAGCTAATTTTGTTTTCCAATTTACATCAGGAAGATTAAAGTCACCCATGATGATAACTTCCCCTTCATTGTCATTTTAGCTATTTCCTCAACTAGTAGATTATCTAACTCTTCAATTTGTCCTGGGGGCCTATAAATCACACCTACACGAGTTACTGTGTGATTACCAAATTCTAACGTAGCCCAAACGGACTCTACGTTTGCCTCACTAACTTCTATTAGGCTAGATTTTATGCTATCCTTCATATACAAGGCCACCCCTCCCCCTTTCTTGCCTTCCCTATCTTTCCTATATAAAGAGTACCCTGGTATTGCTATGTCCCAGTCATTTTTCTCATTGTACCATGTCTCAGTAACAGCGACTAAATCTACACTATCAGTTGCCATTATTGCCACAAATTCATGGATCTTATTCCCTAAACTGCGAGCATTTGTAGACATGACTCTAAGCTTATCATTTTTTAATACACTTGCTACAGGCACCTTCTGTCCTTGTTTTGGGGGACAATTGGATTGATGTTTTATCATCCTTTTGCCCCCCCTCCTAGTTTAAATACATCCTAGCAAAACCTCTGAACTGCTCACTGAGAACATTTGTTCCCTTTTGAGAAAGATGCAAACCATCTTTTTTGTACAGCTTATCTCCATTCCAAACAGAGCTACCATGAGAAATAAAGCCAAATCCTTGCTCCTGACACCATTCACCAAGCCACAAATTAAAGTCCCTAATACGCATCCGCCTGTCGTTCTGAGTGTTATGCACAGGCAGAACTTCAGAGAATGACAGTGTGGAAGCAACCTGCCGTATATCATTGGCAAAAACACTAAAAACTTCCTTAACCTCTGAAACCTCATTGCAAGCCAAGTCATTTGTCCCTAGATGGACAAGTACATCCAATTCCCCTTCCTGCTTTGCTTGCTTAACAATATTACAGATACGTCTCCTGTCTCTGTGAGCAGTAGCTCCGGGAAGACACCTCACAAGACCACCATTGTCCATCTCCACACCTCTTATAATGGAATCCTCCAACAACAACTGCTTTCTATTAGGCCTCACCATAGTCTCCAAGCCGGTCTCCACAACACCACTAGTGTCAGTGCCTCTCTTCACAACACCACTAGCGTCAGTGCCTCTCTCCACACCACCACTAGCGTCAGTGCCTCTCTCCACACCACCACTAGCATCAGTGCCTCTCTCCACACCACCACTAGCCTCAGTGCCTCTCTCCACAACACCACTAGCCTCAGTGCCTCTCTCCACAACACCACTAAACCACCACTAGCCTCAGTGCCTCTCTCCACAACACCACTAGCCTCAGTGCCTCTCTCCACAACACCACTAGCCTCTCTACAACACCACTGTGTGCCTCTCTCCACAACACCACTAGCCTCAGTGCCTCTCTCCACAACACCACTAGCCTCAGTGCCTCTCTCTACAACACCACTAGTCTTAGTGCCTCTCTCCACTAGCCTCAGTAGCCTCAGTCTCCACAACACCACTAGCCTCAGTGCCTCACAACACCACTAGCCTCAGTGCCTCTCTCCACAACACCATTAGCCTCAGTGCCTCTCTCCACAACACCGTTACACTCTGAAAGTGCAGAAAATGAATTATGAAGAGCAACAGACTGTGCAAAATGCCTTTTATACACATATCTCAGTCTACCAGATCCTACAGTAATCCATCTGCCTTTCCTAGTATGTCTCTGCGGCAGTGGCTTTGCAGCAGTTCCAGTCTGAGTTTCTTCACCAGATAATTTACAAATCTCAGACTTCAAAAATACAATCTCCTGCCGCAAGATAGAGAACTGTCTACAGATTAGACAACAACCAAACCTCCAAAAAGTGGAACGTGAAACAAATGCATAGCAATTGTTACACTGAACTAAGTCTGCCATTCCAATTATGAGAATAATTTAAATCTAACAAATCTTAACTTTGTATTTATCCTCCTGAATACCTCAGATTACCTCCAGTTTCTCTCCAGAATATCTCCAACTACACACTTAGAAACAGCACTTAGAAGTAGCACCAAGCTATATTAGACAAGCTAATGACACCAAGCCTTATATAACTCCTAAAATCACCACCCACTAGGAATGTTTGACACCTGGGTAGGCCTCTGCTTATTTGCAAACAATAGCTAAGTAACCAGCAATCAATAGCAAGTAACTAGCTTAATCAAATCAAATGCCTTATAATTACCAACAGGAATTCAAACCTTGTATAATCAGTAACCTTTTCCTACAGATGAATCTTACCTGTAACAGTAGAAAAGAAAGCTCTTAGCACAACTCTTAGACAGTTGAAGCTTCTGTAAAACTCTCCAGAATATCTCCAACTACACACTTAGAAACAGCTATGCTATGTAATGGTATTTTAGCAGCTGCTCTCTTGATCCAATGCATGGAACTGGCAGAAATCTTCCTCAATGTGCCTTTATCTGCACAAACCTGTCTGTGCTCTGAATCAGCCACAAAGTTTTCGTGAAATATCTAATGTTTTCATACCTCGTGCGAGGCATTGAATGATTTCACTCTTTTCGGCATCAGAGAGATCCTTTTTCTTCCCCATATTGCATGAAAATGGAGCTCTGCTTAATAATGTGGAACACCCTCTTTTAGTAGTTTTTCCTTAAATTCGGCTCACCTGGGAATCTAATTATCACAGGTGTCCGAGATTGTTTTCAGTGATCAAAAGAGCCCTGAGACACAATGCCATCCATGAGTTAAACTGAAAAACTAAATATTTAATCTTTGTGACACTTAAATAGAATTTGCATAGTTATTTGGAACAGGGTGCAGTAGATAGCGCTGTGAAAATCCCGCACATGCACAGTAAAACACTTGGGCATTCGCTATGGTCCGAAATTCGGACTGGAATTTCGTCAATTCATTCGTCAGAAAGACAAAGGAATGAATAGACATTTCAGACAAACAAACACCAAACATCGGTGTTCGTTTGTTCGTTTGTTCAGTTTATTACAAGGAGGGAGCTACGAACTCACAGCTCCCTCCTTGTAATATGTAAAAATAGAAGCGGCAAGGAGAAGTGCTCCCAGCCACTTCCTAAGCTTCCCTTTGTCCTCCCTATACCACGAGTAGGGGCATGTCTACTAAACCGTGAGCAGCCTGTGGTTGCTCACTGATGTAAAAAAAAACAAAAAACAAAAAAACTAGATCAGATTGAAAAAAAAAAAAAAAAAAGAACAACAGATCCCGAGAGAGGGAGAGAAGTGCTGCTTTAAGGACAGATTTCTCACTGTGTCTTGCCTTGTGAGCTAGTGACCTGTACTTACGGGAATCTCTAAATAATATCTGCCTGTAAGAAAAGGCAGACCCTGGTAGAGAAACAGGAGAACATGTTATGACAATGTTAAAATCAATAAATCACGATACTTTTACCGGTAGCACTCACTTTAATGTGGAGTTAATGTCACCTCAAGGTTTCCTCTCCTGATGATGTTGGGGGGGGGGGGGCTAGTACCTCTTCTCCCTCTATGGTTGTCTCTTCCAGAACGCAACAAGAACGACAGTCAGGAATCAAAGGATAGGTAAGTAATTGCTTTTATTTGGTAATAAGTATAAAATACTAAATTAAATTATGCCAAATGAATAATTAACAAACCTACGCGTTTTGTCCAATGTATATGGACTTCCTCAGGGACTCATTGGTATAGTAACAATAAGGCATAAAAAAAATATAAAAAAATAAATAAATAATAAAAAAAAATCAAACCAAGTCCAAAATGGGGAAAAAAACAAACAATCTTACCACCCCCAGTCTTGTTTTATACAGGACTAGTCCCCACAATAACAGGACATATACTGTTATCAGTAAACCATACATACAAGATAAGTATACTGTAAATTGCATAAATTATGCCAAAACGCTAGACTTAAAGGGACACTATAATCATGATAAAACAACTAACCTAATGAAGCAGTTTTGGTGTATAAACCATACCCATGCACTCTGCCATTATAAAAGTGCCAAATTCTATTGAAATCTGCACTTTTTGTAAAAAATAAAATAAAGAGGACACACTTCTCACACATAAAGCATTTCAGCAAACTAAAGTGCTTTAGCGGTCCAGATGTCCCTTTAACTTTAAATTGTCACCAAATACATTGGACACATCATATATCATAGATATGCATGATGTATTCAATGTAAAATATTGTGATATACTAACCTAAGTTACATTACTGCACCGCCATTTCAACAGCTTGTGGACATTACTCTTCATGTATTAGTCTAATACTTCCCTTACCTTTTGTGTCACTTTACCCCACTACCTCTAGCATGTAAGCTCATTGAGCAGGGCCCTCAACCCCTCTGTTCCTGTGTGTCCAACCAAACGTTATAACTACGTTTGTTCGTCCAGCCACTGTAAAGCACTACGGAATTTGTTGGCACTATATAAACAACATAACATAATAATGTAATGCCCACCTCCTGTCAGTCTTCAGCTACTCTCGTGGTCGTCTTTGATTTGTCCTGCTTGGAATCGCTGCCCCAAGCAGGGCAAACCTCCTCAGTGACTTTTTTAAGGCATGCTAGCATCTGAACGTGGTGACATTTATATACTCCCTAGCATGAACACTAGCAGCACAGGCTAGAAGGTTTCCATAGCAACCTTGGGATAGCATAAGGACCACCAGTGGGTGTTTTTATTCTGATCTACCTTCTCAGTCAAATCGTCAGCATAGAGTCTATACGAAAGTGGGAGAAAAACCTATTTTTAAATATATTTTTCTTCCAAAACACACTTTTGCTAGCAAAGCTAGCACAATCTATAAACAGAATCTTACACTTTTTCAAAAGAACAAAGGTGAAAATACTGGTGTCGGGTACCTTTTAAAGTTTATGTTGGCAACAACTGTAAAGTAACTGGTCATCTACTAAAACAAAGAAAATTGCTAAAAAATGAAATATCATTAGACTCTGATTGGTATGCTGCATTTCAGTCGCCCACTGGCATAAGACACATTTCAAAATGATATAAACAGATGGGATTTTTAACGTTGGTATAAATATAGGTAGGCAGCTGAAACTACCCAAGCAAGAGTCTCTTCTTTCTGGCAGTGGATATGGTATAAGATAGTAGTAAGGTAGCAGCACCTTTTGGTTGTTCTCAGTTCCAAGTAACAGTCCGTGGATATGTAAAATAAGAAGGCAAGTAACACAATACAGTGTAGTTTTTTGTTTTTTTTGTTATCAGTGCATGTGATTTAAAAAAAAAAACACAATTGTTTGGAGCTACCAACCAGCTGCAAGTATTAGCGCTTGGTCTGTAGATATATTGGTCCCATAAAGTCTTTTGTGGATGGTGTGTCCGGATCTGGTCGCCAGTAGGGGTGTGCAAGGTTCCAAGAAGCTTGATGGTTGCAGACCACCAATAATGGAAAAAAAAAATTACAATTATATAATTATAACCGCTATTTTGCTCACTGATAAAACCAGTATTAGAAAAACAATAAAAGAAGAGGTACTCACAGAAACAAAGCAAAATGTAGGTTTTGCTCAATCATAAAGACATAGGTGGTATAATCCCCACCAAAGAGTCTTTTTGATAAAATCTTCTTTAAAAACAGTCAGAGTGGTCCAAGGTAAGGAAAAAACACACTTATAAGAAATAAGCATAAACGTAAAACACACTCAAAACGTTTTACCAAAAACAACATGCTTGTTGTTGAGAGTGTTTACAGACAAATGGACCACACCTGTTTTTATAGCATTTAAATGAGAAAAAAAATGTAAACTGTTGTGTGAGGTCACAAATATGTGACCTA